AACATCAAGTAAAAATAAAGAAATGGGTTGAAATCCAAAGAGGAATTTAAGTTGGCCTGATTTGCATCCGGCTTTTGTATGGGAGACAGGTCATGGAAGGCTTCAGTGTAGAGAAGTCCTTTGTCAGAAATCAGCATGCATATTGTTTTGAGCTTGGCTGCCAAACGAGAAAGGTAGTGTTTTAATCCAGGTTAATTGCTGGGAGGAAAGCAAAGAAATATCCAGTGGTCTAGGTAGGAGCATTTTTTTCCCCCTGAAAACTATTTTGACAATATAAACATAATTACTTCCTCAATTAGTCCTCAAAAACTTCATGCACAAATGCATGCCATTTATAGAAGTGGTTTGCTACTGGTTTCTTTTAACTTCCCAATCTAGTCTAAAGCTTTTCCCAAGTAATGTTGCTTACGGTAAGTCGTGTCTAATCAGACCAGACAATGCTTAACTTTTCAAGATCCACAAGAGAGGGTATAGGGAAAGAAGGCTGCATTTGCTGTATTTTAAAAGAAGGTGATAAGGTATTAAAATTGTTTATACTTGTGATGAAGAAATTTATATATTTCTTTTTCTTTACTATATTTTCATTTTTTTCCTTTTCTGCTATTTCTCTATTTTTCTTTTCTGTACTTTCTACTGTTTTTTTTTTTCATTTTTATACACTTGGCAAATCTTTTTAGTAGTACCTTTTAATAAAACAATAAAATAAACAATGTCTTATTTCCCATTACAAAATAGCAATCCTCTCCTCTCCCATTCCCCCAAATTTGACACAATTAAGGTCCCATCCGGGTAAATATGCATATGAATGCAACACAGGAAAACAAGCATTTGCAGCAATGCTGGTAAGGCAGTGGAGGTCCCAAAATAGATTGTAATTGGGATGTAATTGGGATTTGTGTGCATACTTTATACCACTTATGCTATGTATATTTTTGTCTTCAGTGTCATTTCCCATAACTGAAATCAAGCACAACCACCTTAAGAATATTGAAGATTTTTGGTCACCTGATCTATAAGCTTGACAATTTTATATAATACTCTTATTTTCTAGAATAGTAATACGAGAAGATTTCTTATATTGAGCTGGACATTTGCCCATCAAGTTTAATACTGCCTCAGCCGATTGGCACCAGCTCTATAGGTTTCAGATTGGAATACTTCTCAGGGATTAATCTTGAAATTAATACACTTGGCTGGCATTTAAATTTATTTTTACCTTCTCACTGTAGATTTTACTTTAAAAAAAAACAGCAACAACTAACACAATACACTTCGGCATTACTTGAATTCTATACTATACTGCCATGTAGAATTGCATATTTCTTCTTGGAATGGCAAATGTTGTGCCTGTTGTACATTTAATTTGAAAAAAAAAAAAGAGAGGCCATTTTTAGTTCAGGTGTGGAGAAGCTTTGGCAACAGTTCTATCAAGCCTGATTTTGAGAAATTATTATATTATGTACACCCCACTTAAAAAAAACAAAAGTTAATCCAGCCAATGTATTTCTGTTTTTGGCTAAATTCCTGAAGGGTTAAAAATCCAAAGATCCCTCTTGGTGGGTTAAAAGGCTAATCAGGGAACTGATAACCATTATGAACATTATTTTAGGAGGAAACAGGATATATATCAAAGAAATGAACACTAATATACTCTGCTTGGTTACCTCTTGGTCTGGCTTGTGATGCATGCTAGGCCACGGGTCACCAACCTTTCGGACCTCAGGGACCATAAATTCATAATTTTAAATCCCGTGGACCAGTAATACAATTTTTTTAAAAATATAAATAGTATTTAGTGCAATATAAAAAACGTAAATAATTTTTCTGCCGACCACCAAAATTTTCTCGTGGACCACCAATGGTCCACGGACCACTGGTTGGTGACCACTGTGCTAGGTTCTTCTGTCTAATGATAAAGGGCAAAGTTTCTTTATCCAAACCTGATTCCTAGTGACTTCATGGACACAACCAAACAGTTCACTTGACATCAAATCACAATTGAATCTATTTAGTTATTCTGAGGTATGCTGAAACAAGATGCACTCATTTAGGCTTGAGAGGAGTGTTTGGAACTTTGAAGCAGCTCAAAGTTAAGCTTTGACCCAGATTTTCCTTTTAAGTGCTGGATGCATAGCCAAGGAAAGGACATGTCAGTCGGCTTCAACACTTTAATTTAAGGCCTTGAAACAGAGCAACAGGCATTCTGAGCCGAGAGGTTAGGTCAGTTTATTTTATTGTGATGGTTACATCATGGTGACACTTAAAATACAGAGGAAACAGTTCTGTAGTATAGTCTTAAACTCTGTTTCAAAATGAAGACCTGTTGTAAGACAATAGGAAAAGACATCCACACCCATACCCACAGGTAAATGAAAAGTCTTACAGACTTACTTAAGATTGTATAAGGAATTGTTGTTGTTAGTTGCGAAGTCATGTCCGACCCATCGCGACCCCATGGATAACGGTCCTCCAGGCCTTCCTGTCCTCTACCATCCTCTGGAGTCCATTTAAGAGGAATTATAGAATTAAATAATTCAAAGCTTTATTAAGTTTTTTATTTAAAGACCCAAGCATTCATGAGGTCAGATGCTCAGAGTGGCTACACTGACTTACGGTTTAAACAGGGAGGGAGGAGAAAGGAGGAAAAGAGAGGAAGACAGGTTGGTAACACAGATACAGGTTATGTGTAAGACATATTACAAGTGCCTTATCAATTAAGAATTGTAAGAAGTTATAAAAAACATTGTATTCCTTGAGACCTTTTGAGATTGCCTTTAACAATGAAAATCATTAATAAGTTACATTGCTACTAAAATCAACTTTAATCTCTCCTTCCCTCTGTATTTCCAGCCTTTTGAAAGTCACCCCACCCACTAACACTACAAGAGAAAAAGGACAACATTGTGGAGCATTGTGCAGAATAGAATTCCACCTGTGGGATAATAACACTTAATAGGTTATTAAGGCACATGTTAGTCTCCCACATTTTAAAAACATCCTGCCTTTTGAACAATATAAATAATAACCATGTTTTCAGAAGATTTGCCATTTTAAAAAATCAGATTAAAGTTAGAAACACTGCAAGCTCTGCCATAGCTACTTCTTGTTTCTGGATCATCACACATTACTGGCTGTTGTTTCTTCATTGTGCTTATTGTGCATGTCCTCTTTATTCTGCACTGTGCTTGCTGCACTTCACATAATAAAACTATCCAGGGGTTTCTGTTGGGAGGACGTCAAAACAGTCAATTTAAACCACCAGTCTAGAAACCAGGAGACTGGGAGTTCTAGTCCCGCCTTAAGCATGAAAGGCAGCTGGGTGACTTTGGGCCAGTCATTCTGTCTCAACCCATCCAAACTCACAGGATTATTGTTGTTGTGGAGAAAATAGGAAGAGGAAAGAGGATTAGGTACGTTTGTCACCTTGAGTTATTTATAATATTTTTAAAAAAATAATAATGAAAGGGTAAAAAATAAATGAATTAAAAATGTAACTGAGGCACTGCCCTTTTCACTGTGCATATATACAAATTGTGGGCCTTCAATCACATGGTTATATCTGTAATCTTGACCTTTTTGACCCTCTGCAGCTCTCAGTGAATGATCTGATGAGACTAAACCTTTGACTGCCTAAATCAGAGTTTATATCATTGCTTCCATTCCTGGTTTACGGGGCAACAATTACCTCCCATAAAAGGAAAGAATCTTCCTGTCTCCAAACACTGTCCATGTCAATCATTACTTGGACTGTTTGTTGTTTGACCAAAAATATGTAAGATCAGGAGCTTTTTCTTTAAAAAACAAAAAAACAAAAGGACCCTGATAGGGATGGTGTTTTGCTTCAAATCTAGAATTCCAAAAGGCTTAGAAATCAGTTTCCCAATTTAAAACAATAAATAAATATGGTAAAAACAGATCCAACCCTAACCCTAATTAAAGTGGTGTGAAACTTGCAAAGTGGCTGTAAGGAAATGGGCTGTGTTGTTTAGGAAATGGACTGTGCTGTCCTGCTGATTCTGTTTTTATAATTTCCATGTTCTTTCATGGTTTCCTGATTTTCATCATGTCTTTGGTTATTTGGGGTCCGGTATTTCTTTTTTTTCCCCGTGGGTGTGTTTTGAACCTTTTTTTTTTTCTTTTTGTAACTTAAGCCACCCAAAGTCATATTGTTTCCTGATTGCTTATTTGTACCCTATGACCATCATTAAGTGTTGTACCTTATGATTCTTGATGAAGGTATCTTTTCTTTTATGTACGCTGAGAGCATATGCACCAAGACAAATTCCATGTGTGTCCAATCACACTTGGCCAATAAAGAATTCTATTCTATTCTATTCTATTCTATTCTATTCTATTCTATTCTATTCTATTGGTTGAGAAGGACAGCTGTATTCATGGGACACATAAAAAAAAATAAACAAACGGGGGGGGGGGGCGGGGAATGTCGTCTTCCTTGCAGACAATCGCGAACCAAAAATCGCGCGCCAGTCGAGTTACGAGTCCAACTTTCCCAGTTCTGACGACTTTTCACCCTCCGCTATTTAATGCCAGAAGATGCCCCGCTTGGACGAAGCACGTGTTTGCCCCCCATCGATGGCCTGATTTCTCACAAATATGAGCCTCCGTCCCACTTCCACTTAAGTTCTCACAGAAAATATGGGATATAAATTCGGTGAAGAAATAAACTGTGAAAACATCCTGGACCAATTACTCTCTTGCTGTGGTCCCACCTCCCCCCACCCCAGAAGGTTTGTCAAGGTTTTGGGCAGCGGCCACCCTCACTGGCATTGACGGGAGCCGCAGCCCCTGCAGCCTAGAGAGCGCCACGTGAAAACGATCGAGCGGAGCGTGGGATTTGCCGGCGGGTTCTCAGTCACCGCTGAAGGCAGCAACCCATTCGCTGCCGGCCTCCCCTTTGACGTCAGGCTCCGGTTATTGGAGCCGCGCCAAGGCAACTGGCGCACCGAAACCCGAGAACCGGGTTGCAGGAGCCGAGAAGGGCCGCTAGGGGCGCTGCGGGATTTAAACTCCGCGCACAGCCTCGCTCGGAGGCTGCTTGCACCATGAGGGGCTCAGGCGCGAACGGGCTACCGCTGGTCCTGCTCCTGGCCCTTTGGGGTCCCGCCGAGGCTCAAACTTCAGGTACCTCGTTTCCTTCGCCCGCTCGTGGGTGCCCTTTCTTTCCCTCAGTGGGAGGGCGGTTGGGAGGCTCTGCAGGGACCCAGGCGGAGTCATCCTTGGGTCGTCTTCCAAGGGGACTTGCTAAGTCACCTTCGTAGAATCCACTCTCGGCAAAAGAGGCGGGGGGGGGAGAGAAAAAAGTATGCGCCCGGTACGAGCAATAAGGCTCCTTCTTCGGGGGCGGGGGTGGGGGGGGGGAAGACGCGGAGCAGAACCGGTCTCTTCCCTTGGCGTTTGGGTATCCGTGCATCCAACCTGCCTGCTTTGCGGCATTGGGACCCGACTCCCGCGCCTGTCCTCGCGGCCAAGAGATGGATCCCCGGGAAATAGATTGTGGTTAGGAGCATTTTAGACCGTGAAGACTTTGTTTGGATTTATGTAACGGTGCGTAAGAGATCAGCCTAGTCCCCAAACCTCGCTGCCTCGAAATTATGTATTAGTTTTGTTTTTACTTGAATGAGGAGTTGTGTGTGTGCGCGCCAATCAATGATGAAGTACCTAAAGATGGGTAACAGTTGCTGAGAATAGAAGATGGTGCTCTCCAGGCACCATTTCCTGTTGTTTGATCTTAGCCATGCTGTGATAGTCACTGGCAACTAGTCTTAATGACTGCAGCTCTTATGCAGCTCATTCCTTGATTAGTCCTTTTCTTTCTTTCTTTCTTTCTTTCTTTTTCTTTCTTTCTTTCTTTCTTTCTTTCTTTCTTTCTTTCTCTTTCTTTCTTTCTTTCTTTCCTTCTTTCTCTCTCTCTTTCTCTCACTCTTTCTCTTTCTTTCTCCTCTCCCCTTCCTCCCCTTCCTTCCTTTTTCTTTCTTTCTTTCTTTCTTTCTTTCTTTCTTTCTTTCTTTCTTTCTTTCTTTCTTTCTTTCTTTCTCCTCTCCCCTCCCCTCCCCTCCCTTTCTTTCCTTCCTTCCTTCCTTCCTTCTTTCTCTCTCTCTTTCTCTCTCTTTCTCTCCTTCTTTCTCCTCTCCTCTCCCCTCCCTCCCTCTTTCTTTCTTTCTTTCTTTCTCCTCTCCCTCCCCCTCTTTCTTCTTTCTTTCTTTCTTTCTTTCTCTTTCTTTCTCTTTTTCTTTTTCTCTCTCTTTCTCCTCTCCCCTCCCTCCCTCCCTTTCTTTCTATCTTTCTTTCCTTCCTTCCTTCCTTCTCTCTCTCTCTCTTTCTCCTCTCCCCTCCCTCCCCTTTCTTTCTTTCTTTCTTTCTTTCTTTCTTTCATTCATTCATTCATTTTCTTTCTTTCTCTCTCTCTCTCTCTTTCTCCTCTCCCCTCCCTCCCCTTTTCTTTCTTTCTTCCTTCCTTCCTTTCTTTCTTTCTTCCTTCCTTCCTTCCTTCCTTCCTTCCTTCCTTCCTTTCTTTTTCTTTCTTTCTCTCTCTCTTTCTTTTTTTTTCAGTTTAGAACTTTGTTGGACATTTTATTCCACAGTATATGTTCCCGTTGAAGAGAACATTCAATTCACTATTGAAATGGACTCTAGTTTATCTCTAGCGTATAAAAGTTTATGTTCCCCAAACCTGCTGGTTTGTAAGGTTCCTCACTTTTACTATTTGACTAAAGTCAACATTGGGACAAAAAGCAAAGGCATTCTGAAAACTCTTGGCTACTGTATTGGTTAGCGCTTGTTGAAGAATGACTGACTGTGATCTCATCACACATTCCTTTTACCAGATATTACCAGGCATACATGTAGGGGAGACTCACAGCCTCTTGGATGAGAAACCAAAATCTAAGAAGTATAATCCATCACTTGTGCACATTTAGGTCAGCAAAACGAAAGTTAATAGGTGATATGATGTGAAAGTCATAGCCAACAAATTTAGGTGCTTGAAATTGGTGGGGAAGGTGTGACTGAAACTTGGGAATTGACTTTTCTTCCTAGAGCAGGGGTCAGCAACCTGCAGCTCTGGAGCCGCATGTGGCTCTTTCACCCCTCTGCTGCAGCTCCTGTCATTCAAAATATGCATCACAACCACCAATGTGTGACACCCGCTGGCATGCGATTTATTGAGCTTTTCAATTCATGCATTTATTGAGCTTTTATTGAGCTGGCACATGATTTATTAAGCTGGTAGGCCAACCATGGATAAATCCAAGAAAAGAAAAGTTTCAGAAGAAAACAGAACATTTAAGGGGTGGGTTCTACTTACCTTGACTACCGGTTTGCAATGGGGCCATGTGCAGAAGCGTTTTTATGATGTCGGGGTTAGTGGGCGGAGCCTCCTGCCGGTTTTACTACCAGTTCTATAGAACCGGTGCGAACCGGGGGGGGGGCAACCCACCACTGACTACATATGCTAGTTTTGTGGCTGCTCAGGAAATAATCAGGCATGGGAAGGGTTTTGTGGCTAATGGTGTTTTCTTTTCTGTGGGAAACGGGTCCAAATGGCTCTTTGAGTGTTTAAGGTTGCAGACCCCTGTCCTAGAGTAAGCACCAAGATTTTGTATTTTCGAACTGGGGTAGAAGCAAGACAATATTTGAATCTCTCCCCACTCAATAATTCTGTGATTGTATTGGGGATACTAGACAAAGCCAAAATTCAGGTGGCAATACCCAGCTGACATTGGCTGATCTTGAAATAACCAACCAAGCAAATCTTAGTACTTGAATGATAAAAGACAAGGATATCCCAGGGTTGTAGCTTAAGCTGGAAAATTAAAATTAATTGAAAGCTATTTCTATATTATTACTTTAAAAACTACAGGGGTTATCCACATTGTTCCTTAAAGTTAAACCAGACTCCCCTTTTATAAAACAAAGGCTGGGATGAGCCTTAATCTCAGGACAAAAATGAATATTTTTGAGAATCTTTTCAACCCCTTATAATCTTTTGAATAGTCTTCATAGTAAGTGCTGTTAAAAATTTAACTACTTCTTTCCCAGTGCAACCAGCTACATGTAGATATGTTGCATTGTTTCAGTTCAACTGCTATGATGTAACCACAAAAACACAAATGACCTGATTCTCACATTGTGCTAAATCTGGACTTGCTTAAACATGATATATTGATTATCCCAATAAGAGATTACACTGAAAATCCCATGAAACCACGTGCTTTGGGCTAGACACAGAAAGATTGAGTTCATATTTGGCTTATATCATAAAATGTTTTGTTTAATTGTGGGATAGCACCTTATATTTTCTGCACTCAAATATCTATGAAGTTAGTTGCCTTTAAATAGTTGTATTGTATATTTATTAGTATTCTTTTGGCACAAAACACATTTCAAAATCTTCTGTGCCTTTGAATGTTGCTTCATAATAAGCACACCCACACTTACACAATTCCTGACATTTTGCTTTTCCTGTTTGTATCACAGTAAATCTCTTAGAAAGTGTCATCATTGTTTCCATCTGAAAATGAATGGAAATAATGTTTCATTAAATTTTATGTTAAGTGATTAAAACAAGAAAAAAACCCTTTTCAAGGAGCAATTCATTAATGTTCTTTAATTTAATTGCATATATAATAATTATTAAAAATGTTCTTTTCATGATCTTTTTTAACAGTATATTTGATTAGCATATTTTTAATCAATTTTTGCAAAAATAATTTATAGGAAAATAAGATGATTTAAGAAATTAAAACTCACACATAAAATTCAGGTTAAGTTATTTAAATTAGAGTTATAATCATATAATTAAATCTTACCCGAAGCCTAGTGGTTTCTAGATAAAAATTAGGAGACCCTGATTTCTATTCTTGCCTTAGGCACAAAGCCAACAGGATGACCTTGGGCCAGTCATTCTCTCAGCCCTAGGAAGCAGGCAATGGCAAACACCTTTGAACAATTTTGGGAAGAAAACTGCCAGGATTTGCCTCCAGTAGTCAACAGTGACTCAAAGGCAGAAACTACAACAACAATACCCCCCCCCCCGTACTTAGAAATAAGTACTGTGAAGCTCTTTAGGAGTTATTTCCGAATAGATATATATACTATGTGATCCTCTTGATTTTAATTGGATTTAGGCCTCATCCAATTCTGTAGTGGCCACATTTTTATTTAGCTCTATTACTACCACTACAGAATTGTATGTGACAAAAATTCTGGTGGAATAAGATTGGTCAAGAAAGAATGTATGACAGTAATTCTATTTATCCATTATTCTTTTAAAACAAGAGTCAGTAGCATTGATAGAATTCTTGACTATACCAAGTTCGCATTGCCAATATTTATTCATTGCAAGATACATTTGATAAAAAGCATTCTTCAGAATAGAAACACAAACCAGGATTAATGGCAGTTGAAGATAAGCAGTGTTGATTTAACAATCTTCATTGGGTAGCAAATTAATTTAGAATTTGCTGATGCAAATTCTAAGGTGCAATTGAGTTAGCGGAATTGTTAAGGTGCAATTGAGTTGGGGGGGAACCCACGGGGACATTTGATAGAAGTTATAAAACCAGACTTGGGTAGAGAGAACATCATCATCTTTCATGCCTATTTTGGGATTGTCCAAGAATTATTCTGGGAACAAAGTTGCATATTTTTTTAAATTTTTTAAAATGAAATTCACTTGCCCAGAAGGAGGTGATAGCCACTGTTTTAGTTATGTAACAAAATTCAGCCATTGCTATGGTTCCTCCAGCTATTGTTTACTTCCCCTTCTGGTGTTCAGTGTTTACAAGACTGTTGTTGCAGTTTTTTTCCCCTTAAAGAGTAACAAACATCGGCATCATCAACAGCCTAAAGAATTTCAACTGTTGAAACATGAATGTATGTATATGAATAACACAATTTTGTGTGGAGATGGTTCGATTTTGGTTTCATAAAATCTCACACCTACAAAAGGGCTTTATTGCTGGCATACAATATGGATTTAAAATTCAGCTTTACTGGTAATTTTCTACTTGCTAAGACCCTAAGGAAACACTTGGTTCAGAAACAGATTATTTTTAAAACGGGTGGTTGGAAAGCAGAACTACGGAGAGATACTGCATCAGATCCTGCTTGTGGTCTATTTT